GGGAGGTGGTCTCTGGACATGACTCAATTTTCTGATTTTATTGATGGGCATTTTCTCATTGATCTACCAATTGAAGGGGCAGCCTTTACCTAGTCTAATGGCAGAGACCCAGTTACTTTATCAAGACTGGATAGGTTCTTGATCTCTAGGAGTGGGGAGAGAAATTCCCGAATGCAGTTCAGGCGGTTTTAGCAAGGGTCACTTCTGATCATGTTCCTCTGGTATTTGGATTGCGGGGGTTTGAGGTCTCGGTGCTCCTCGTATCGATTTGAGAATATGTGGTTAAGAGCGGAGGACTTCCAAGGGAGTGTACGGTCTTGGTTGGAGGAAGCAACGGTTACAGGTTCTTCCAGTTTTGTGTTAGCCAAGAAGCTAAGAGCTCTCAAAATTGAGCTTAAGAGGTGGAATAAGGAAGTGTTCGGGAATCTTGAATGGAGAAATAATAGTCCTTACTGATTTTCAGAGATTGATCGTCTTGAAGAGGTGGGTGGGGATGTGGAGTCTCTACGCTCTAGGAGAGTTTCCTGTCAAGCGGTTCTTGCTAAGATTGCTCGTATGGAGGAGATCTTGTGGAGCCAGAAATCTCGGGCTTTATGGCTTAAAAAGGGCGACCGTAATATAAATTTTTTTCACAGGGTTGCTAATGCTCACAGGAGGAGTAATCATATAGCGCGAATCCAGGTGGATGGTTCGGAGTTGTGGAGAGAGGAAGAGGTGCGTAATGGGATCGTCTTTTTCACCTGAAGCTTTACGCCGAGCCGTTAGGATGGAGACCCAGGCTTGACGGGCTTCATTTTGAGGCTATTTCTGAGGTGGATAGAGATGGTCTTAAGATGCCTTTTTCCGAAGAGGAAGTGTTAAAGGCTTTGTCGAGTTGCAATGGCGACAAAGCCCTGGGACCAGATGGGTTTACTATGCGATTTCTGTTGGAAAGTTAGGAGGTGGTGAGAAACGAGGTGATGGGCACCTTCAGGAGTTTTATTCTAATGGAGTCTTCGAGAAGTCATTAAATGCCCCTTTCATTGCCCTTATTCCTAAGAAGGGTGACGCTTCTAATATTAAGGATTTTAGACCAATTAGCCTTGTGGGCTACATTTACAAGCTTATTGCTAAGGTTCTTGCTCTTAGGATGAGGGATGTCATGGATGGGATTATCTCGGATTCCCAGAATGCTTTTGTCGAAGGACGAAATATTCTAGGTGCAGGCGAATGTGTGGATTCCAGACTGCGAAGTGGTATCCCTGGAGTTTTATGCAAACTTGACATTGAAAAAGCTTATGATCATGTTAATTGAAATTTCCTGTTGCACTTACTTCAGATAATGGGGTTTGGAAGTAGATGGAGGAAATGGATAGAGACATGCCTTTCGTCCGTTAAGTTCTCCGTTCTCGTGAATGGGTCTCCTGCTAGTTTCTTCGGGTGTTCTCGTGGGTTAAGACAAGGTGATCCCTTGTCGTCTTTTCTTTTTCTCGTCGTAACAAAGGGTCTGAGCAGACTCATGAGGACGCCAGAGGATCTCGGTCTTATCAAGGGCATTAGGGTAGGCAGAGATCTAGCTCATCAGATGGAGATCTATCATCTTCTGCTTGCGGATGATACCTTGGTCTTTTGTGATGCTGATGTATCTCAACTTCGATATTTGAGGTACATTCTGGTTTGTTTTCAGGCGGTTTCTAGGCTGAAGGTCAATGTGGTTAAGAGTGTGCTTGTCCCGGTTGGGGATGTTCATGATATTTCCTCCTTAACCGCAGTTCTTGGGTGCAGGGTAAGCTCTTTCCCTATTCCTTATTTGGGTTTGCCTTTGGGGGTCTCTTCTAGGAGGGTGGGGAGCTGGGATCTTGTGATAGATAGGTACGCCAAGAGGTTAGCTGGATAGAAGAAGCAATATCTGTCGAAGGGGGGAAAAGTTACTCTTATAAAGAGTACTCTCTCAAGCCTGCCTACTTATTTTTTATCTGTGTTCCAAATTTCACGCTCTGTTGCTAAAAGGATTGAAAAGATTCAAAGGGATTTCCTCTGGGGTGGAAGAAGCGAAGAGTTTAAGTATTATCTCGTCAGGTGGGAGCAAGTTTGCAAGCCCATCAAGTTGGGTGGTCTGGGTATCCGGAGGTTGGTTCCTTTTAATCAAGCTCTCTTGGGCAAATGGTTATGGAGATTCAGTAGGGAAAGGCATCGACCTTGGAGAAGGCTTGTTTAATGTCATTTTGGGGAGGAGAGTGGCGGTTGGTCTACTCGTCCAATCTCTATTGCGGGAGGAGTTGGTGTGTGGAAATTCATCCGGAAGGGCTGGGATGTTTTCTCTTCCCATATTAGATTCAAGGTCCGTGACGGTAGATATATTCGATTTTGGGAGGATTTATGGTGTGGTGACCAGCCGTTATCTTGCACCTTTCCCAGTTTGTAAAGCATCGCCGCCGACAAGCATGTCTACGTAGTTGACGGTTATTGACTTTATAGCAGTGGGATTACGTGGGACGTGAGCTTTCGGCATTCCTTTCAGGATTGGGAGATGAACGAGGTATGTGTTCTTTTGGATATGTTGTATCAGCAGGAGGCAGTTGGCAGAGGTAGTAATGATATTAGGTGGATCCCCTCTTCCCATGGTCGATTTGAAGTACAATCCTTGTTTCGATGCCTCTCCAACTTCTCTGCCATTGATTTTCCATAGAAAACCATATGGCATTCTACTGCTCCACCTAGAGTGGCATTCTTTGTGTGGACTGCTGTATGGGGCAAGATCTTAACAATTGACAATTTGAGGAAGAGAGGCAATTGTATTGTTAATTGGTGTCGCCTGTGCAAACGAGATGGTGAGTCAGTGGATCATATTCTCCTGCATTGCCCAGTGGCATACGACTGTTGGTACCTTATATTTGGCTTATTCGGTATGTTTTGGGTAATGCCTCGATCTTCTAAGGGTTTTATTAACACATAAAGGGGGTGCCGTGTGAGAAGCAGTGTTCGAGACTATTGGAGGACAGTTCCGCATTGTGTTTGGTGGTGCATTTGGAAGGAGAGGAATAGCAGATGTTCGAAGGGAAGGAGTCGTCCATGGCGACGCTGATACTTCATATTATTCGCTCTATCTTTAGTTACGTGAAGGTTCTTGCTCCTCTTCCGATGACTTAGTTAATTTTTGGGATTCTTTGGGTCCTTTGATCCCGGTTCCGCTTTTGTTTATGGGATGCGTTCCCCATTTAACGCTTTATAATCGATTATTATTTATCAAAAAAAAAAATTGTAGATATCATCATTAGGTTTTTTGCAACCTAATTGTCATAAACAATTAATGCGGATCATTAACAGGAATTTGGTACCACAAAGTAAAAAATGTGGTGCAATTGGGGTAGGTTTAACCAAATGATTCTTAAAAAAGTAAATTAATTCAATTAGAATTATAGTTATACAGATGCTAAGACCGGGATATTTTCTGAATTGAACTAAAGAGAACTAAATCTAGGGTTCATTCTAAGCAAAAATAACAACGAAATGTACACTGTTTTACATCAAAATAAACCAGTTTTTAATTACCGACAATAAAAAACAGGTTTTATATAACTGATAAAATTATATACAATTACTGCTCAGATTGAATCCCAGTTAGTAAAAATCCCTAAGTAAACTAGCAAAGTTCCATTCATTACCAACTCATTCAAACTTTTAATTCAATCTTACAAATCCAACTCAAGCTAGTTAAGATTTTGATTTTCAAAACAAAAAGAATTCAGGTGTCATTTTCAACTCAATCAAGCTTATGGGATTGACATGTACAAGTATATGCATATATTAGTATCTTAAATGCATAGAACATCTTTGCATTTTAAACTAATAAGGAAATAAGTTGTGTTTTGAATGAAGATGCAAATTTTTGCCATGGCTTGCTCTAAACAAAGTCGAAACTGAATTATTCCTAAAAAGCCACAACTCAAACAGGGCTAGACAAGATTGGGTTAAGCTTGAAGCCTTGAACTAGCCAGAAGCCGAGTTTGTCACAGTATAAACAACTCATACAAATTTAGGCTCAGGTAAGCTGCTTGTAAAATCATATTTGTATGACCCGACATCGATACATCTGATGCTAATAAATTTATTATTTAATTATATCTCCCATGAATTTTGACAGAAATAATTACTTTCCACAGAATACAGGAAACCTGCACATAGGTCCTTAGTTACATCCAACTTATGAGGGTTTAAAAGTTTGGCATATAATCTGACAAGAAAATAATTTTCAGTAAGCAGTTTGGAAAAAAGTTCAAATGAATAAAGGATTTGCATATATCCACCCACTCCAAACAACCCACCACCCCACGCGCATGTTATAAGGGATTCGAGGTTACTTCACTGGACCCAGTTCACAGACCTTTTAAACCATTAATCCGGTCCAAGTTGAACTGCAAACAACTGTAAAAGTAAAGGACCATGCATACATCTATTGGGGACACTGCACAATCAAATGCATAGACTCAACTAGACACAAACTCAACAAAGCCTTGATTTACTTGAGGTTAGCTACATGACCATATGTCTCCACTCTCCAAAATATCAACATCAATTGAATAGGGGTTGCAGCCTGGTGGCTGGTGCAATGGTAGAATTACAAGAACGAGGTCTCAGGTCCAAGTTCATAAGCAACCACTTTGTATGAAGATTGGGTAATGCACATTTTTATTATCATCAATTGAATGCTTGAAGCAACCAATGTAGGAATACAATAACCTTCCATGAGGTTCACCAACAAAACATGCTATTTGTGGTCACATATATATAGAAATTTTCAAGGATTAATAATGTTTTCAACAGCTGCCAAACTTATTAGTATCTTTCTACACAATGAATCTGGCTAAGAACTTAGATAAACCTAAGGCCCACATATGCATAACAGAAAATTCTCTTGAAAGATATGTCAACAAATATCTCAATGAAAGCACTAGAAGAAAATTCTCTTGAAAAAATGGTCGGTAAATATCTCGATGAAAGCACAAGAACAAATTACATACCATAAGTGACCTTGAGAGCTCATCCCTTTTAACACCAACATCTTCACCTTTTGACTGGATATCATACAAAATCAAATGAAATAGTAAAATACAAAAATAAGCAAATGAATATATAAATCGCGTGTTCCACAGAAACAGTCAGCTCAGCGAGTGCAAGTGAGAGAGTATTTTTGTACCACTGAAATGAAAAAAAGAATGTTTTCTGTTCTTAGTCATTTGATGTTTTCCAACCTTCAGAACATTTTATTACTCAAAGCAATGGTTTTGGTTTTAAATTTCTGCTGTCATAAAGGATCCAAACTTACAGTGAACAAAACCACAAATTGAAGTATCCCTAGCTATTAGAAGTGTTACATGGTCTTTTTTCTTCCAATAACTTCCACAAAATGACTTTACTTCCAGAGACACCAAAAGTCAATGTGAAGTCAAAGCTGGAAGCATTTTGTGAGTTGAACAGGTATTTTTCTTTTTAACCTTACTATTGTCTTTCTCTAACCATGGGAGCGCCAATGTGACTTGTGACTTGTGCCTTGTATGATTTAAAAAATGACAAGATGGAAATCCATATTTCACTTTTGAAATACAATTGTTAATAGACACCAAGATTGTTAATAGTTGACAATTAGCAGAAATGATAGTTTTTAAAATTAGGATCACAATTCACATATATACTACAGGGTATATTTCCTAATGTTCTGATGGCAGTTGTAACCATGGTTATTAATGGACTAGCAATGAGTGTTTCTTTCTTCAGCATCAGTCAGACAACCATACATAAAAAGTAAAGGTAATTTTAACAAAGAAGGTATAAAATGACAAATTCTGCCCCATGAAGAACTGAATAAAAAATAAATAGAAAATGTATAGAAAACAAATAATGATTCTTCACAAATATATAGAAACATATATCCATGAATTTGAATAGATGCATGCAAAAGGGTTCTTCCCGCCCTTTTTTCTTTTTTGGCTTAAGGGTTCTTCCTGCCCACCACACCACAAGTTTGATTCTCAACAAGTTTACAGTAACATGACCATAAATTGGTTCATAAGAAAGTTCCGCAACAAAATAATCACCCTATCTTCTTTTTTTTTCCTTAGTTAATAATCACCCTAGTTGAACCTTGTAGGTTATAACACACTTGCACTTCAAATTAAATCAAGGCATTTAAAAGATAATATATAGACAATATTTGGCATTAAAATGTAGCACAAAAATAAATAAATAAATAAACAAGTACAACTTTCATCTCTACAAAAAGATGAAAACTTCTGGAAAAAACACCCAGGAAAATGCATATATACAATGAGATAAATACTTGTGGATAAAATTAATAAGACTAGCATCCAACAATCTCACATGTGTAAAATGGATAGGAAAGTAACAGCCCAAAATGTCAAAAAGATCCCCTGCAAAACTTGCTAGTGGACCCAGTGGATCTGGAAATAATTGCGCCAATCCTTCCACAATATGAAATGTGAGCATTAAACATTGAGGATCCTTTTCTCCATCAATAGCTTCACAGATTCCATAGACAAGATTATCGCCCTAAATCATAAGAACAGTCTGGTTAATTCTTTTTTTATAAGCAAAAGCATCAATATGAAATGACTGATTGATGTTAAATTACAAAGAATAATTAAAAAATTATTTGGGGTACACGGGGGAAGAAGAATTGTGAGATGTCAGAGAATGCCTTCAGACATCTAAGGGGTGGCCAGGGGTTGAGAAATGAAACTGAAAGCCAAAATATGTTTTACATAGATCATTACACTGAAGTAGTAACAAATGAAAAAAAAAATTGTGAAAGATCAAAACCAACAGTTTATGGAAATGGGGGTGGGTGGGGGAAAGTAATGACTGAAAACTCAGTATTAGTAGGATAATAAAGATGCTAGCAGGATAATAAAGATATAAACCAAAATCAGCTTAATATATAAGCTGACTCCAAACTAAATGTGCTTAGTTGTAAATGAACTAGCAGGTGAGGAAGGTATGGCAATGACCTGTACCACACACACACACACACACACAGCTGTAAATATGAATTAGCAATTAGCATGACTGATATCATCCATAAGGACGCATTTTGTGATCATTCACAAGAAATAAAAGTTGCATGTGGCAGGTACAATGTATATGCAGTCAAATTGCATGTTTACTGAGCTCATGGAAACTACTTTGACTTGAAGACTCATGCAACTAACTCTACAATATTACCAAGAAGTTCTGCTCAAATTATGCTAATAATTTGAATTACAGCAGTTGGTAATAGTAAAAAACTGGGCTGTCGATTTGAGTGATATATGATCTTTTACCTTTATAGTACCAAAGTCCTTCCATGTTTGTATGACACAAATAATTAGTTTTTGGAGTGAAGTTGCTAATTGAGATAATAAATGGATTAATAGAGTTAATAGCCCAAGTGTTCAAGAAGACCAAGAAAGGTAAGGAAAATCCTAACCAATCACACCAAGGTTAGTGGAGTAGTTTTTGGAGTGAAGTTGCTAATTGAGATAATGGATGCATTATCAGAGTTAGTAACTTAAGTGTTCAAGAAGAAGGAAGGCAAGGAAAATCCTAAGCGATCACACCAAGGTTAGTAGGAACTCAAACAAGAAGAAGCTGTCACAACCACTATTCACCAACAGTGAAATGTAGTTAATTTGATGTTAGAGGTTTCGTCAGGTTGTGGAGAAGTAAACTGCATCATACAGATGTCTTCATCGCTGTCACTAAGAGAAGATGCATAACACATCAATAGTAACAGGCTTCAGAAGACAACTATTTTTTTTTTTTTTTTTTTTTTTTTTTTTTTGTGATTGATAAGAAAGTTGGCTTAAAAAGCGCTCAAGAGGGGAGCGCGCCCGTAGATATACAAAAAATACTATACCCACCAACAAACCAAAAGCACTATACTCTCAAGCTATCAACAAACTCCACTAATTCCTCCAAAGATTTACAGAAGAATAAAGAAACCGACATGGAATGTTTCAATACCGGAATAGGAGATTGCTCGCCATCAAAGGACCCCCTACTCCCCTCCCTCCACAGCCCCACCAAATACAAAAGGGACCACCCTCCATCATTATACAGAGAGTCTAGATTAGGGAGGCCAAGTAATACTGGACGCCAAGATAAGGCTTGGACTTACAAGAATCCACAACACCCTGCAAAACTAACAATCCTGTGCATCCTTCCTAAAAATCAAACGCAGTATCACAGGATCAACATCAGGTAACTGCCTTAGTCAAGAAAAATGGAAGTAATAATATGTAAAAAGACAAGATTCCAGGATAACAATTACAAAAGTAAGATAATATTGTATCTCTTCCCATAATTTTGACTTTCTAGAGTAAGAAGAACCATGAGGACAATACATGAGAATATCATGTTATTATCCGAGCAGAAAAAGGATAAATCAGTATAAAGAAGAAGAAAAAGGAAACAAGAAACAGTTACCAGTGCCACAACTGCATTGGAATAGCGATCTAATAAGCACTCCAAAAGTTCAAAGCAAAGCTGCAAGAACATTTGAATGGTAAAGTCGAATAGCTAAAATGTACAAGTAATTGACAAAATGATATTTACATTCACTCTTGTAGGTATTAGCAATGAAGTAAATAATTATTTTGGCATTGTCAATGGCCTTTTACCTTCCTGTCATGCTGTCCCAGAGATTGCACCTGCAGGTTCTTTAAGTAAGACTCAGCAACTGCTCTTGCTTGACTGCTAGTAACCATACCAGCATTACTTTTCCTCCTCATTAATGCCAGGCAACCAACAAGTGCACCACGCAAGGCTTTCCAATCTGCCTGATAAAAAAAAAATATCATCTATCTTTATAATGAAATTCCAATAAATTAAATAATAAAAGTAGTCAGTACATAACAAATTAAAAAATGCTTAAATGTAAAAGAAACTGCAGCAAATAAAAAGGGAAACCAGCTTGTGTACATAGTTAAAACCTTCACTCGTAATGCCTAAAAATTTTACACATCATACTTTGTCAAGCCACTTAAAGGTCAACAAGGAACAATTCTAGTTCGCTTAACTAAATCCAGTTTAGGTTTCAATCAAGTTTCATGATTAGAAGATACTAGAGAGGATGTTGAGACAGAGAGGCTCTCTCAACTTCAACCCTCATTAGGATTGGTGACAATAATACCTTTCTAATTACTGGAACAAACTTGTCCGCAGAAAAAGTCCTTTAGTTAGCACACAATTTTTTGCATCCCCAGCTTGCTAGGACTTTAATGCAAAATTGCAAATAAGCTTAGCAACAAATCCAAATTGATAAGATGCATAAGATATAGCCCAATTTGGAAAACCACGCCATGAACAAAAAAATGCAAGCATTATGAGCACTTGAACCCGAAACATCCCCACCAGGAACAACCGATCCTTCTAAGTTGTAAACTGTGATGTAGGGCCTCCGATGTTCACTCTGAGGTGCCCCTATGAAAAACCACACAACATGGCATTGACTTGAGTGCAATATTTGGATTGGATAAAGCAATCTAAGACTCCAACACACTGTTGTCTATCAATTAAAGAAGAAGAAGAATAAGAAAGAAGTACCAGAGGTGAACCTCCAAAAAGGTCACCAAAAGGTTGCATTGAAGGCCAAATAATAGTGGAAAGTATTAGGGTTGATTCAGGATAGAATGAGTTGAGTTTTGGTTATGAAATACATGCTGTTCGAGGGCTGTGAATAATCATGAATGGTAATTAAAGATACGAACAAGGGCAGAAAAGATATTACACAATACATAGAAATAAGATCACGTGATCCTTAGAGATTTACACGACATAAAACATATGAATCAAAGAATTGAGACAATAAGGCCAGTGTCCAACCTCTGGACATCTTCCTAAGAGCAGCGTCAACAAAACTGGTACCACTAAATTTTCATAAGACCTGCATACTAAAGCCCAAATATGGCTTCAATGAGGACGGAAAGAAGGAAATAGGAACAGACTACTAACAGAATAGATGGGATTGAATCATATGGTTCCTACAGAGGTATCAGAACTTGTCTAAACTTATATGACAGATTGCAAAAGCATTTTACAAATCTATCTCAATGAGCAAGTATTTCACAATCTCTTACCTAGAAAGCTTAACCTGATAGTCAATGTGTTTTTACAATTAAAAATACTACAGGTATATGGATAAAAATCTAGCTTTTAACCTGATTGAATCGGTGGATAGCGCACATGCTCTACAATTAGACCAAGTACTAAAAGAAAGAAGGAGCAAGAAAAAAAGAAAAAAGAGCAAACTGAAGTGGAGAGAAAATAAATGGACATAAACGTGAAAAAGAGAAGAGAGGAAAAAAAGAAATAAAAAAACACTGAAAACATGAAGACCAGAGAAGCAATTAAGAATTAAATATATATAGTCACTTCTCCTTTGATGAACAGCAGTCCGTTATGTAATTGCTTACTCACCAGCCTTTCTGTAAAGAATCCTACCAAGCTCTGAATGGTAGTATCATCTAGAGGCTTTGATGCAAGGCGTGTCAGCAACTCGGCAAGAAGAAGGATACCTGAATGGCAGCATGAATTTAAGATATGTGAACATTCACATTAAAATAATAGTCCACAGACTCCACAGAAAGAATAGTAATGAAAATAGTTATAAAGAAGCTTAATTCAAGCACATGACCAGCTGATTTGCACTACTAAAAATATGCATGCAGACTGTGATGATGACAGTAAAATCCTTTGCTGATGTGTTTACTCCCTAAAGAGATATCTTGTCCCACACATTTACATCCCATAATAGAATCTCAATGCGAAGTTTTTGAGACCAAATTGGAGCCATCCCAATCCAACTCCACATCATTTTATTAAGAGCAAACTAGTTCATAAAAAAATTGTCAACATAATTCAGGATATGTTGAACCTACTAAAACATTAAACAACACATTCCAATAGGTGAAAGGACCACCCTCATAAAAAATTGTCTAGCTATGATTCCCATCCCACATACTTCTGCACATTATTCACGATGCTCAAAAAATTTGTCTCTGAGGTTGAGAACATCCTAATGGATTTCCAGTATCATAAATAAACAGGGAAATTCTGGTGAGAGAGGATACAATGTAGAGGCTAAGTGTGGTTTAGGATCTGGTAACGTTGGCTGCAGGAAGAACACTCTCCTTGGGAAAATGTTTCGGAGTTGTCCTAGAGAGCAAGTGCTTTGACACCTAATCATCGAAAATATGGTTACTAGACAACAGATCAGATGTTAATTTGAATGGAAGGGAGACCGGCACACTGCAATTCTTTCTTGTTCTTGGGAGGTTGTGCTTCAATTATCACCTTGCTCGCCTTTATTATTGGAAAGCCATTGGTCAAGAGTAACCTAGGGTTTCCCGCCAAGTTAACTTCAATCTTCATAGTTGGAGATGGATCCAGAACTCACTTCAAGGAAGACTCACTATGGAGACCACCTTCATAGATGCACTCCTTTAACTATTCCATCTTTCTACACACAAAACCATTTCCATTTCCTCTCTTAGTGAAATTTCAATGGTTTTGATGTTCAAATTTTCTAGCTTTTCAATAGTGTAAATGACCAAATTATGACTTAGCTTCTTGATTTTAATTTCATGCTTTCAGAAATACTCAACAACATCTTCATCCGAAGAATAAGAAAAATAAATAAATTAGCATCACTGAGAGCACAAGCAGAAGCGAATTTTGATGTTTCATAGTTATTTATATTTTTACTTATCAAAAAAATAGTTATTTATATTTTTGGAAATTTAAAATTTTGAATAATAGAACCATTAGAAACAGCGGTGAATAGGAAATGGACAAGCAAATGGTTTTGGATATAGAAAATTGTAATAGGGAAAGGAAACCTTCAGCTGCCAAATGTGATAACGCAAGTTCAAGCCACAAAATATTGCATAAAACTAAATTTGTACCCAGTCTGTCCTTCCCATCATGAAAGATGAATGATGACCACACTGGTAATGGCTTTTTGGAGAAGTATTGAGGCCCTCAAAGATACTTTGGAAGGTCGTCAAGGTTCTCCTGTAAGTCGGGGTTTAGCTCGGGCTTTAGTATTTCCTCTGTTAGATTCTCTGTTTTGGTGAATCGGTCTCCCTCCGGTTTCTTTGGAAGTTCTCGAGGATTGAGGCAAGGGGATCCCCTTTCTCCTTTTCTGTTCATTATTGTTATGGAGGCCCTTAGCAGATTGATGAGGAGGGCCATGGATTTGGGCTTTATCAGGGATTCAGGATGGGTCCAGATTCAGTTCAGCAGATGGATATTTCCCATTTACTTTTCGCTAACGATACCTTAGTTTTTTGTGACGCGGACATGTCCCAACTAAGATATTTGAGGTGTGTTCTAGTTTGTTTTCAGGCAGTGTCAGGATTGAAAGTTAATGTGGTAAAGAGTGTTCTACTACCTGTGGGGAAGGTTCAGGAGGTGGCTTCTCTTGCCGCGGTTCTAGGGTGTGGGACGAGTTCTTTTCCAATCTCTTATATGGGTTCGCCTTTGGGTGCTCCATCAAGGAGGGTGGGAGTTTGGGATCCGGTGATTCAGCATTTTGAGAGAAGATTGGCTAGGCGGAAGAAACAGTATCTATCAAAGGACAGGAAGGTTACTCTAGTCCATTGTCGAGTATCCCAACATATTTCCTTTCTCTATTCTAGATTCCTTCCTCTGTAGCTGAAAGACTCGAGAGTCTCCAACGGAACTTTCTTTCGGCGGCCGGGGGGTAAAGTTCAAGTATCATCTTGTCAGGTGGGAGCAAGTTTGCAGGCCGCCGATTTGTGGAGGAGAGGGGTATGGTTTTTTGGACTGGTTAGATTTGTTGTTGGCGTGGGAGTGTGGAAATGCATTCGAAAGGGTTGGGATGAGTTCTCTAAGCACATTAGATTCATAGTTCGGGAGGGCCGAGATGTCAAGTTCTAGGAGGACTCTTGGTGCAGTGATCGCCCGTTGTCTTGTTTGTTCCCAAGCCTTTTCAGGATAGCTGTTGATAGACATGTTGTGGTAGCAAACTGTTATCGGCTCGATAGCGGTAGGCTTACGTGGGATATGCGTTTTCGGCGCTCCTTTCAGGATTGAGAACTGGACGATGTTTCTAGCGTGGATGGTAGAGGCTCTGACACCTTGGTTTAGGTGCCTCCTCCTCAAGGGAGAATTGAGGTTCGCTCCATGTTTCTCTGCCTCTCCGAGTTTCATGGTTCCAATTTCCCGTGGAAGACGGTTTGGCAATCGAAGGCTCTTCTCAGAGTGCCCTTTTTTGTTTGGACTGCAGTTTGGGGCAAGATTTTGACCTTGAACAATCTGAGAAAGAGAAGACAAATCATAGTCAACTGGTGTTGTTTGCGTAAGAATGATGGAGAGTCCATGGATCACCTTATTCTGCATTGCCCTATGGCGCATGCTTGCTGGAGTCTTATTTTTTGTCTGTTCGGCGTTCAGTGGGTTATGCCTTAGTCCTCGAGGGATTTGATTGATGGTTGGAGAGGCTTGAGTGTGGGGGCCCACGCCCAGGATTTTTGGAGGGTGTCTCCCCTTTGCGTTTGGTAGTGCATTTGGAAGGAGCGGAATAAAAAATCTTTTGATGGGAGGAATCTTCCATTGGGGTGCTGAAATTTACTATTATTTGTTTTCTTTTTAGTTAAGTGATGGGGAGAAATTGTATATCTTTAGATGAAATCATAGATTTTTTGGGTTCTTTGGGTCTCTAGGACCTCTTTTCGCTACGGTCTTTGTACAGCCTTCAAGATGCGTTCCCCTTTTGATCGCTCTCTAATATACTTTTATTTATCAAAAAAAAAAAAAAAAAAAAGAGGTTGAACACAAAAGACAATTCAAGTAATAAGTCCCACAAAATATCTTTACCCTATAAAATGTGTGTTACTTGAAGATTGTCACCCATTTCCATGTTCTTCATTAGAAATCTCTGGTCCAGGACAATTTGATGGATTCATCTAATCTTATTTGTGGGAGAAGGGGAAGGGGTGGTAGTCTATGGTAAATCGTGGAGCTCAGGTTCTCAGCAATATGGTCATTTTGTTCAAAAGATTAAAAATGTCTCCACTCTAGTGATAGCAAAGTTAAGATGTCAAGATTGGCTAATGAGAAGGCAAATGATTAACTTTCAAAGGGCCCTTTTATTCATTGTCATATTGACAAATGTTTTAATCTTACTAAGGGTTTCAGTTGGAGTAGCTCAATGAGAACAAGTTCTCAGCAATATGCTCACTTGGTGCAACAGAGAAAAGGAAAAAAAAAATCCAATTTAGTGGCAACAGGTATCAAATGTTGAGAAGGGCTAATTACGAGGAAAATGATTTAACCCCTAAAGGCTTTTCTATTTTCCCCATTGTGGGCTTTTCAAGGCTGGGGTGAGGAACGAATTTTAGTTAGGACTGTTTCGATTCTAATTGTGTCCTTTCCCCCTTTCCATTTTGGTGACGTTTTATTTCTATTTTTATTTCCTTAGCGATATTTTAGTTTCTTACCTTGAAAAGAATACTTTAAAGGATCGGCTTTTTTTAACCTATACATTAGTTTCTAGTCCTTTAAGATAAAACTCCCCCAAAGCACTTCTATATTGCATCTATTAACTTGAGCAGCTATGGATATTTGATCGTTCCACTTAGACAGAGAAACTATGCAGGTGCTTGTTCAAGTGAGTCAAGGCAAATTAATTGGTAAGGAAAAAAGTGAAACTATCTCAAAAATAAATAAATAAATACATAAAAATAAAAATAAAAGGGAAAAATAAATAAATAAATAAGTAGTGGAACCTCTCCAACCATACATGTGATTCATATGTTCAAACTCATTTCACTTTTACTTTTATGAATCTGAGGTCAGCTCAACCTGAACGCATGTCAACAATCTTTACTTACTTTAAAGGGGTAAAGTGCAAAAAACACCCCTATAGTATCAATATAGTGCATATAACAAAACTCAAGTTCAAAAACCACCCCTATAGTATAAAAACAGTGCATATAAGGACTTTCTGTCAGGTTGACTTTCACAGAAGGGTGGAAACACGAAAAGGCCCATCACTTTACTGAAATAAAAAAAGAATAAAAAATTCCTAGAAGTTGAAATTACTTAAAATGACTTTTCCAAAAACGTCACCCGTTTTGGTTTCTTTTATAAACCCACCCATCACACAGGCACACACTCTATCTGTACACAAACTCTCTCTCTCTCCATCACGCTCCTTAGTCTCTCTCGCTACACTCTCACTCTCACCATCACTGAACTACTCTAGGGTTTTGAAATCGGAGACAAAGGTGCCAGAACCTTGAAATTGACCTCACATTCACGCTACGATACAAATACCAAACGGCCAACACTCTTTCAGTCCGGCCAAACATTGCCTTCTCCCTCTACTTCCTCTCTCTACAATTCTTGCAAAAGAAACAAAGACAACTTCTGTTGACACATGGTGTGACGTCCCACATTGCCGAGGGGGGGAGGTTTAATGACGCTTGTGGACATCTCCTCATTGTATAGACGCGTTTTGAGCAAACCGTGAGTACCGATAGGAGACCGTGCAAAACGGACAATATCTACATGGTGCGGGGCGAGTCATGACAAATGGTAGTAGAGCCAATCCCGAGCCAAAAATTGGAGAGTGTGCACAAGCCCATGTGAATCAGGCCAGCAAGGACGTTGGTCCCAATAGGGGGTGACTGTGACGTCCTACATCGCCTGGGAGGAGCAGTTCCTGACATTTATATGTGTGGACACCCTTAATATCATGTAAACATGTTTTGACCAAAACCACGAGCACCGAGATGAGAGTGTGCAAAGCAAACCATATCTACATGGGTTGGGGTAGATTGTGACGAATGGTATCAAAACCAATCCCCCGCCGAAAATGAGGGCGCGTGCACAAGCCCAAGTGGATCATGCTAGCAAGAACGCTGGGTCCCAAGAGGGGGTGATTGTGACATCCCACATCGTCTGGGAGGAGAAGTTCCTGGCATTTATATGTTTGGACATCTTAACATTGTAGACATGTTTTGAGTAAAATTGTGAGTACTGAGACAAGAATGTGCAAAGCATGCAATATCTACACGGGTTGGGGCAGGTCGTGACACGAATTGCGTGGATGTCTAATGTCCACACTTGGGTGTTCATTCATTCATTGAATTGAGCCGCTGGGGGGAGAAGTTCCTAGCATTTATATGTTTGATTGATGTTTTTGGATTTATGGAAAAGTTATTGAAGTTGTGTTTGCTGTGAAATTGTTCTGATTTTGATTGTTTCCTGGCTGAAATTCAACTGGGTTTTGTGTGCTAAGCTGACTTCAGTGTTAATTCAAGTGAGATCTGATTGTTTTGGGAGATGAGTTCATTGTGATCTGTTTTTTTATTCTTTAATTTTTCAGGAATTTCAAGTCTTGCTAAGTATGTGATTTTATACTTTTCTTGCTCAATAGAAGGGTTTTGAGTATGTTAGAATTATGGCTTTGATTCATTGTTCTTATATATGTAATATAGGAATTGAAAGAACTTTACTTTGAAGCGGTGTTCTGTGACAATTTACTGAAGCGGTCTTCATTTTGCCAAGAATTCGATTATTGCGGATTGTAAGGACAGCTAAGTGTGTGTGTGTCTCTGTGAAATTCGCTTCAAGTATATTGAATTCGATTTTAAATTCCTTTAATTGAGAGTTGGATATCAGGAATTGGTAACTATTTATGTTTTCTAGATTGATACGGGGTAAATCACAAATTTGGCTTCTGGGTTTTGGACCGACACTTGTGTATGTATATTATTTGTTGAATTCCCAATGTTTGAGGCATTCAACTGGGTTACTGTTTGCAATTTCAACAATATTTTGTGTAAAGTTTGCTAATGTGATGTTTGGTCATACAATATGTGAATTTTGTTTATAGGTCTATGTTCTTTTGGGTGGTTGTTATAATTAATGGACTGCGAGAGAGACTGAGAGAGCAAAAGAAAATAGAGAGAGAGAGAGAGAAAATAAAAGAGAAAAACTGGACTGTGATAGAGAGAGAGAGAGAGAGAGAGGAGATGGAGAGAGAGAGAAAATAGAGAGAAACGTATAATATATAGAATTGAGGGAGGGGCAATTTTGAAACAACAAAAGGGTAACATTGGTATTATTGACACATGACTCGCACACGGGGTCACCAACGGCTTTTTCCCTGTCAGAAGGGCACAACGTGCAACATTTTTTCAAAGTATAAGAATATATATAAACATTTGCTACTATAAGGGTGTTATAAGCACTATATCTATTTTGGAGGGTGTTTTTTGCACTTAACCCTAATTTAAAGCATCCTAATTTATAGGAAGGCAATTTTGACAGCGTTAAACTCAATGCATCTCACAATCCATCAAAAAAGTTGACAACAGAAAATATCACCATGTATCTGGATTGTCTCAACCATGTTTCAAGAATTCTTAGCCATATGACTCATATCCCAATCCTACCCACACACAATGCTCAAACATAACATTAGCAAAACCAAATTTCAAAACTAATAGACCATTTAAGAATTTATACTGCAAGATAAACTAAAAAATCAATGCTCGCCAAGACCCTTGCATCTAGATTCAAGATAAACCCTTAAAGTTGTTTCAAAATAAGAGAACCAAGAAGAATTGTCATTAAAAATAATACATCAAAATAAATGATAAAAGTACCTCTTGCACGAATTATGTTATCCGTAGTAGTCAAATACAACTGCATCTCTCTAACCTACACCTCAAACAGTAATAACTCTTAGATAGAGTGAAATTTAACAGCAGAGAACCAATAACTATGAAAAATAATAAATATGATGATAGTAAAACTAATTATGATAGAAGTTCACCAGCGCTTCTATGGTTAACATGCCGTTCTTCAACAGAATAGAAATTGCATCTAAACTTGCAGCCTGTAATTCAAGGACGTATGGAGTCAATTTAAAACTTAAAACTACAAATCCCAGAAATCAATTAACCCAAAAAAAAAACTTTTGCAGAACCATAATTTGAATATTCAACTACAATTATCAACTACCATTGCCCTAATTTTTTAGTAACATGACTAAATAAGAAACCTATGTACAGCAATTGACATAAACAAACCAAATTAATCTCAAATAGGTCAAGCAAAAGCAAAAATAAATAAATAAATTAGCAACAAAAAAAAAGAGTTTCTTTTGGTTGCTAAGGTAACTGAAAAAGATATATGTTTAAAATCTAATGCTTTATCCTAAAGTTGTGAAACATGTATATTGAGTTGTTTTTTCCTCAATTTTCATGGAAACAAAACGAGGATTGGAATTTATACGAGACAGTGTTTGGGCACTGACCTGCTGAGTCGTAGAGCCAGACGAGTCGACGAACGACTCTATGTGCTTAATCCACTGAGCTGGATCCGCCATTGATTCTAGAGAGGGAGGGAGAGTGGCGGTGGGCGAGGGTTTTGAAGTTTTCCAGCGAGCCGGGGGACTGTGAACGCAAATGTACAACTAGAGAAGCCGCGAAAGTACTGAAGTATTTCCAAAATAAAAATAAAAATAAAAATAAATACATAGTAAATAAACACTGAATATATAAATAATGGGTTAAGTACCAAAAACACCATCATACAAAAGATGCAAAAACACCATTAGAGTATAACCACGTTTTCGTTTTCTGTTTTGCAGCCTTAATAAAGCAAAACATGATTTTGTTTTCTTAAATGAAAATAGAAAATAGAAATAATGTTTATTAACACTTGTTATTGTCACAAATTTGAAAATATAAAATAATAATTGTTTAGTAATATAACATATTTGTTACAAAATGTACATAATATTGTTTTTTTTTTTTTTTTTTTTCATGGCAAGAATTTTTGAAGTTAGTGATTAGAGAGGAGGGTAGATGACTTGAACATGAACTCTCGGACACAGAGAGTAACCCAACCTCTTAAGTACGACACTTGCTTCCATTAATATCAAACAGTCATAAATGTAGAAAATCTAATTTATAATTTTAAATTTTAAAAATACCCAATACATCATAAGTACAAAATTAGATATACCAATACAAAAACATTCCAACTAATTATGTATATAAATACTTACATATGCATGATGTATATATTTATTATGTGATATATAATATATTTAGCATATGATAATTTATTATGAATAAAAAATATTAAATAATATATCTTATATGTAATAAAATATATATATTGTGTTATAATATTGTAAATTAATTATAATTTAATATTTACATGTAATATAATATAGATAGGATATATAATAATATAAAATATTTACTGCTTAATAATTTATTAACATTATATTCTATATCAAAAATTATTTTGTCACAAAAAATCATTTACATTATTATTTAATATATTATATATTAAAATATATTTTTATTAAATAAAAAATAATATACAATATTTAATTTAGTCTATATTAAAAATATATATTTTTATTAATATTTTTTTTCCTTAGTTGGTACTTACACGCACATGCCTCCACTGAGATTCGAACCCCTGACCTCTCTTTGAGAGGTAAGGGTTTGGTACCGCTAGGTCACTTGCCTGTTGATATTTTTATTAACATTTATTATGCAACTTAGTATATAATACAAATAATGTGAATTTTATTTGGAATGAATAGTGCCTATGAACTAACATTAGTGAAAACGTTTCTTTGTTACAGTATCGAAAACATAAGAAACATCATTTTGATTTTGTCTCTTTTCTTCACAAAAATTGAAAATGTTTTATTTTATTGAAAAACAAAAACATTTTATTGAATGTGATTTTTGTTTTTGTTTTGCCTTTTTAAATGTTGACAACAAAAAATAAAAAACGTTTCTCGTTACCAAATGTTGCCTAATTTTTTTTTATGCAAAAAAACGCCTGCTAAAATTTTTTTGTGCAAATTGCTCCTAATGTCGGTCGGCCCTAGCCCAAGGCGGTCGCCTAGAGCCTCAACATTTTTAGGCCCATTAATGATAAATTCATAAATAAAATAAAATAAAATTTAAGCCCCTCGAGTGATAAGCCCAAATAAAAAGAAAAAAAAATTAGGCATCTTTCCATGAGTGATAGACCTAAATAAATAAAAAATAAAACTTAGAACCCTTCAATTAAACAAATTCACAGCCCATTCAAAATTAGGGCCCTTAAAAACTTCGTAATTAAATTCGAAATTGAACTTGGTGATTAAATTCGAAACTGAATATGGTCTTTTATTACTTTATGTGTATGTTAGTCTGTATTTCAGTAATTAAATGGCCTTACATTTAAGTTCACCTAATGATTCATTTTGATCAAACTATTTTTTATAAAAAACCCAAAATGCCCTATGCTGATGTAAGCAAAAATTTATTTTATTTTTCATCTTTGTCGCCTCTCTCTCTCTCTCTCTCTCTCTCTCTATGCAAAACCCACATCTTCAATGCTGCCACATCCGCCATCCCCTGCCAAGCATCTTTTATTATGTGGCTTGCTTGTAAATGAAAAGACTAAAAAGAACAACAAAGTTTGATATTCAAACCCACATAAAGTGTTAAGTGATTGTCTGATTTATTCTTTACATGAATGTTTGTTTATTAATTTGAATATAGGGTAAAGTGCAATAAACTCCCTGATCTTTACTCTCTCTCCTAAGAAACCCCTCTGAACTTTCATTTTTACAAAAAAAACTAAACTATTTTATTTTTTGCAAAAAACACACTATGTCACTGTTCGTCACTATTCAGATTGATTTTTCCGGTGAAACATGCACTATAATTTTAAAATGACAGTATAGCCCTTATTAAAATTTTAGAATTAAATCAATTAAACCCCAATTTTGTTAACTAACCTTAACTCTCATTGGCTTTCATCTTTACCAAATTGCATCTCTCTGATCTCTTTCTTTGCAACCCTGTCAACAATCAAAAACCTAACTTTTGCAAACCCAATCACAAATCAAAGTCATACACAGAATACAAAACCACTTATGCGATTCAGTTGCTGGAACCCAATCTTCTCTCTCTTGGTCGTGAAATCGTCTATTTCTCTCTCTTGCTCCAGTTGGCAATCTTGCAGAGTCGTTATAGGAACCCATTACAAATTAGAACAAAGCTAGAGATGGTGGTGGTGGGGCGGGATGGCGGCAGAGATGGTGATGGGAAGAGAATAGTATATATCTCACTCACTTACTTTGTGGACTCCATATCCAAAATCTTCTCCCCAAACAACTAAAATACTCACAATTAAATATTATTTTGGTCTGTCACTATGCTTTAATTTTGATTCTTAAATATATGTTTTTTTTTTTTTAGGTGTGTTTGCTGGCCAGATTTAGTGGCTGAAAACCAACGAAACAAGCACCGGTGGTGATTGGTGGCCAGATTTTTGGGTGATGTTTGGTGTTTTCTCACCGGATTTAATGGAGTTCAGGGGATAATATTCTCACCTCCAAATATGTATATACACACACCTATATGAAATGTTGCTAGAGAGCCCAGGTCGCTTCGCACTGTAGGTGGATGAGAGTCAGGATTAGAGGAGTAGATTTCGACCTTATAGTTGCAATGGAATAAGCTAGGGCTAGTGTTTCAACAAATGAAAAGAAAAAAGAGAGGAGGTGGTAGCCTTGGCCGATGGAGGTGGTGATCTGAGTTGTTTTGGGAAAGAGGCGAAGGTGATGACCAGCGCTAAAATAAGGAGGTGTTTGGCCTAAAAACTAAGTGAAATTGTGATAAGGTGATGTGGTGGTGCAATGCTATTGGCTGTTGAGATTGCACTTGACACATCAGCAACAACATTTACTCTAACAATCAAACAATGTCATTTTATTAAAGGACAATATGGTAATCTAACATTTCCGGTGATCCCAATAACTGGAAGTTCAAATTTTGTCCTTAAATTATACTTTTTACATAGTTTAGGGGGGCATTACTTAGTTTAGGGGGATTTTGTGCTTTTTGTTGATAGTTTAAAGGGGTTTAATGCACTTTACCCTTGAATATATAACATACATATGCGCATGCACATAAATATATCTATCTATCTATAAATTTGTATCAAATCAAAGCCTTAAGTATCCAAGGCTACTTGATTGTAGATTTTTGTTTGCAAAGAAAGAGAGAGAGGAGATGAGAGAGAAAGAGTCTCAGTGGCGGATCAAGGACCCCAAGCAGGACTGGGTCTTGCCCCCTCTCTCTATTTGAATCGTCTCTGCAAAACCCACATCTTCACCATCGCCACATCACACCCCACCATCCCCACAGCCATCACGACAGCCATAGCCACCACCACCACCACCACCACAATTCAGCCCCATCTTCCCCACCACCGCCACGGCCATAGACACCATCGCCATCGCCATTCCCCTACTCCCACCACAACCACCACAGTTAACCCACAATAAAATCAAAAACAAAACCTCAGTTATTTATCGCTGCCCGTCGCACATACCTCATGACTATGGAATCCATGGATTCCAGTGACTATAGAGGAACGGATTGATTACATCGGCAATTTGTGGCGATGAGGTCGAAAGATTGGGTTTAGATTGATTGCGTCGGCAATCCATGGAAGCTTGCTTGAAATAAATTCCTCATTGGCTTCTAACAGTTCAAGAAAAGAAAGTGAAGTGCATGACGACGGCGGGCATTCGAAGAGAGAGAAGGGATAAAGATGAAAAAATAAATTAAATTAATGCTTACATCAACAGGAGGGCATTTTGGGTTTCTTATAAAAAAAAATAATTTGGTCAAAAGGACTTAATAGGAGGCAATCTGCATTAAAACATTGAGCAAGGTTCGGTTTGGTTAGACGAAAAATTATGATAGAAAGTGAAAGAAAGGAAAAGTAAATCAAGTTTCCATTATGCATTTGATTAGCAAAAAAAAATTTCAAGAAAATTGTGAGAAAATATTATTTTGTGTGTTTGGAAAGTATAAAAGTAAGAAGAAAGTGATGCAGTTACCAAGATTATTTTGTACTCTTTTGAGACATTACTCTATCTTCTGAATTATGAACAAAATTAAAATTTTAAGTTCAAAATGAAACAATGAAACTGATATTTAATAATTTTATATATGTGATTATAGGTACAAGTTTAATTAATAAAAAAATTTGTTCCGAAAAATATTTAGGAAAAAAGATTGAAGTTAATATATATATTTTTAGTCATTGAGGATACCAAAAACGACTCGGGCCGGGTACAGCCCACATGATGAGCAATAGGCCCGATAATTGACCTGGATCCGAACCAGGCTCTCAACAAGACATACCTAAAACTAAAGAAGCAGCCGAGGATCCACTAAACGTAGTCAGGCCCGTAGCTCGAGAAGCCCAAGAGGAGGCCCAACACCGGGAGTTAGGTGGGACGCTTCTAAAAGGCATGTAACAGTTTATAAATAGGTAGAAAATAGAGGGAAAAGGGGATCGAAAAATCTTTGAAGTGCATAATTACTCTGTCAAAATAGAGAGAGGAATTTCTTGGATCTTCAATGGCGCCATCTGTGGAAATTGAACCCACGGCAACACGATTTTGAAGAGATTCGTATTCGATCT